TTTTTTTTTTCTAGAGGGTCTGGTCTCGTATTCAATGCCTCAAGGAATAAAAAGGGGCTCGGAAGTTGACCTTTCTGATAGAACTTACGACGGTAGCGAGGAAGGGGGTTACCTCTCCGGAGGACTTGGTCAACTTGTCGACGGCCAGAAAGGTCCTGACAACTTCAGATTGGACATCAGTGGTAACGGTAAAGGTAAGACCTCAAGCCGACTCCTTTCGTGCTTGATAAGATTACGGTTTCCGTTAGATTGTGTCCAGATTATTACGATAGAAACGTCTTACAATTAGTATGATTCAAGAGATACTATTTCTATTTCTCTCTCTCTCTCTCTCTCTCTCTCTCTCTGTCTATCTTTTACTAGCTCACTCATCATTCATCCATCTCCTAACTGATCTCAAGCTTACTTTGAGTGTATAAGATAAGTCGAGTGAAAGAGAATGTTTGAATATACTTGCAACTTGCTTTTAAGGATGAAGGAGAGGGGTACGGGGTGGACACTGATTTTATCATGTCGCGTAAGCATCTATCCAAGTAAATGTGTGTATGTTGTGTCATGATTAAATAATCATAATTTTTAATGAAATTTTCTCTAAAATATGTTATATAGTGAAATAATATACTTATTCGTATTAAAATTCTATCGAAGTTAGATCAAAGTCTTTAACATTATTATTATTATTATTATTATATATCACAACACAGACGAATAATAGAAAATTATATTAAGTATGATAATCCATCATTATCATTTTATATTAACCTAATAATAATTATCCTTTATATAGGTTGGTTTCATCATCGAATTTTGCATCACATTTCTTCTTCGTAATATTTGATCTGTGTTTAAAGTTTCTCTATCTCTCTTTCCCAACTTCAGCATATATTATATTCGGGATAAGATAGATATATAGATAGATAGATAGATAGATAGATAGATAGATACAACTACTACTACTTCCGATCATCTAGAATTTATTCAAAACTAGTAAACGAGGTTAGAGATACTTTCTTACCCTTTTTTTTTTATTTGTTTCTTACTTTTACTTTACTTTACTTACTTTCTCAATTACCAAACGAACATCTGTATAATATAACAAAATAATATTTTGCAACTAGAAACCAATGATTATCGGGAATAATAAAAAAGATATACACGAAAACGTGATAAAATTATGAAGAAAATTTTGGAACCGATCGATAACAGGTGCGTTTGAGGAGTTTAGAGAACGGGAAATATTCTATGCTAAGGAAAATAATCTTCGCATGCAACGAAAAAAGGAAAGAACGAAGGAAGGAAGGAAAAGCTTGGACCCTCGAATCCAAACGTGTTCCGCGGGTGGTGAAGCACTCGAATCTGTTCCCCAATTTACATTTATATTGAAGCACCAGCTAGTCTGCAAGCCGCATTGCCTGTTTATCCGCTCTCTGGATACATTTGTGTCTTTCCATTTACGCCAAGGGACATCTCGCAGTTGCAGTAACAGTACTACCATGGTTCCCCCCCCCTCCCCCTCCTCCTCCTGCTACTACTACTTCCTACTGTCTGCATCTACTTCACTTTTCTTCCCCCATATCCTAAACTTTTAAACCCATGGCAATGCCACGTGTAAGACACTCGAGTCCCTCAGAAACAAAATCAGTAAGAAATCCAACTAGATTACTTCTCTCCCCCTATTCTATTTGAAAATTCGAAATAAAAAACATTATATTTCTTACGTTCCATTCATTCCATCATTCTTATTACTATTACTATTATAATTGTACGTAGTTATATATGTGTATAAGTAGAATTCATTCCTTTAATCCTAAAGATTTCAAATCCCCCATTAAACCAATTCTCATGACCGAACAGTTCGATAATGAATATAAGATTACTTTGATCAGATTTAATCGTCTAACAGAGAATATATTCGTAATTATGCATAAAATATAAATAATCGTTAAGTTATAACACACGATTAGTTAATTTAGTTAATTTATCTATTTCAAGGTGTAATCATTTTGATTTTTCATTTGATCATTGTATTTGATGTGTTCTTGAATTTTACAAGAATTTTCTTTAGAAAAATATAAATGATAAAGAGAGAGAGAGACAGAGAGATGGAGAATCATCGTGAAGTAAGCATTAGACACACCTAAACATTGTTGCTTATCTTACGACCCTCGTGAAGCTTTAGAATTGATAGTAGATAGGGAACGAAGGCAGCGACGACAGGAAACTGGAAACTATTTACTCGTGGGACAATATTAAGGATGGTTGCCGTAGTAATAGTAGATACTAGTAGTGGTAGTAGGAATAGTAGTAGTAGTAGTAGTAGTAAAGACTCTATGGAGGTTGGTTTATATGAAAGACGGATAAGTCAAAGCGATATAACACACAGGAGAAGAACCAAGGACTTGGTATATTCTCAACGAAGGGTGGAAGGAACTGAAGGATGAGCTCTTGTCGAAGAACGATCCGAATTGTCTGAGGGATTCGAGTACATGCATCACGTAAACTACGACACCATTGAAATTTCTAAAAACATTTAATATAAATTCTAACGTAAATAAATATAAAAATAAATATATATATATATATATATAAATAAATCACAATGAGAACGAAAAAATAAAAAGAAAAAGAAAGAAAGTGTAACGAAGATGAGTAACGCAAGAAAGAGTAAAAGGGGTCTAATGGTATTTTTCCTTCCTATAATAACTCGAAGTTAACAAAGAGCCAAGATATTGCTTTATTCAACGTCTAGGATCGTAAATTAAAAGCTTCATTTTGTCTTGTATCATTTGTAGTATATTAAGCTCATTATTAATTAAACTCATTAGCCCCGTTGCACCGTACGGGTAACAAAACCTGATAATGAAAATATTAACACCGATAAAGGGTAAACATTTTGCAAGCAAATTAAACTCGGGGAAAAAAAAAACTCGGGACTCGATAACTCTCTGTTCTCTTGATTTCTTTTTTTTCTTTTTATTAACAAATTAAAATATGTATTCTTATTAATTAATGCTATTTAAGTATATCGCGATAAAACTAAGACAATTTTAAATGAATAACGTATCATTTAAATACGGAGGACAAAAATTAAATATCGAAATGAAAATCAAAAGGTTTTGAGATTAAATAATGAATATATATATTTGTTAAATATAAATATTTATATATATATATATCTTTCTTTCTTTTTTAAGTGAAAATAATGAGAGAGAAAATCTACTTTTATCTTTCGACGTAGAGTTTTGTCGAGTCGTTGGCAAGTTCATTTTCAATCCCCGTGTATTTTCTGTAGGACGGAAAAACGTGTTTTTTTTGTCCTCTTATGCGTACGCAACTGGTACAAGGAATCTAATGGCAAAAGAGCAAGCGCAATAACGGCTTTTGTGGTTGTTCCGTGCCACGAAAACTCTTGCATTCAAAGTTACGTTGTTTTTCCTAACAAAGAGAGCTAGTATCTGGTAGATGTCACGTGAGAGTGAACTAACTCGGCAACGATAATGATGAAAATGTGCTAAATTAGAAAGAACGGGGAGAAAACCTACCCCCTCCCCCCGAAAAAAACGAAATCACGTCTAGTACTACTTTCCAACATTTTGTTCAATTTTTTTGTTTGAAAATCTGGAACGTCATTTAATGGAGAACAATTTTATTACTATGACTTATCAAATTCAATGTGAGATCTATCGTTTAATTAAAATGAAAATGCACCGATATGACGTTAAATAAATTCTTTATAATTTGATATTATTGCTATTCTACATAGTTATATATATATAGATCGAAGGATGCTTAATGAACACCTCGAGAAAAGTTATTATTAAAACTAATTCGATTTTATATGGATGTTAAATTTGAAGAGTAAATATTTTAAATGATAGCTCTTCCGCGAACGAATGCGCGTCGATGTGCATGAATCTACGAACATATATATATGTGAAAAATATATATATATATTTGTGTGCATGTGTATGCGAAAAAGAGAGAGAAATTTTTATACGCGTCATCCGATACCGTTAAATCTTCAATCGAGATGAAAACTCGCATTGGCCTGGCGTACAGAGACAGAGAGAAAGAGAGACAGATAGATAGAGAGAGAAAGAGAGAGAGAGAGAGAGAACGTAGTTTCATAATTAAATCAACAATATAATGAAAACGCGGTTATCCATTTGCGATCAAATTCGCGTCACGTAGGAGCCGTCACTTCGCTACGATCACGCGAGACGTTTCATTTTTCGTCGGTACGTGCACCGATAAAATTATCGGATATAATACTTTTCAGGGAACGGTATACCCGGGACGAAAACTGTAGTGGAAGGGAAATCGGGGAGAGATGCGTTGGGATGCTTCGATAAATTTATTTTTTTTTATTCCCTTTCCCCTTTCCCCTTTCCCTCTCTCTCTCTCTCTCTCTCTCTCTTCTTTTCATCCACTTTTTTTTTTTTTTTTACTAACTTCATAGAGACGGCTAAATTGACGGTTTCGTTCCTGTTTCGCATCGAAAAAAAAAAGGAGTACTTTTTTAAAAGTATTCTAAATTGATAATAAATGTGTATGTATATATATATATATTATACGAATATAAAATCGGAATAAAAAACTAAAATAAAATTAACGACTGTTAGTCGACGATAGTAGTCGGTTGGTTTGATATCAAATAGACTTTATTATTCATTTCCTGATATTTTATTAGTCTTTTATTTGTAATTCTTTTTCATTTGGATGATTTTTATTTTTTCAGGATACGAATGGGTAGGATGGAAAAACGACACGCCAAACATGTTGGGCAAACCAGTCGAGATAACGTTCGAATTCGATTATTCAAGAAACTTCACTGCCATTCACCTGCATATGAACAATTATTTTACCAAAGACGTGCAGGTAAATCTATTTTTTGGTTTTTTTTTTCTCTCTGCCAAAAAAAAACATAAAATAAGAATATCTATTCGTTAAATTATTATTATCACTTTATATCCGTGTGTGTGTGTGTGTGCGTGTGCATGAGTTGTAATATACGAGATTAATTTAAGATACGAGTTAGAAACTCTGTTTAAACGAAGACGTTGGTGCTTTAACGCGTCAAGCCAAACAAAGTCTTCTTTGTCTTCTAACACGGCTGGCATTTCACGCTTGAAACCTTCGTAGGTATTCTCATACGCTAAGGTATATCTCGGCGTTGGTGGAAACCAGTTTAACGGGGAACCTGTCCATTTCTCTTACATACCAGACCTGGTCTTGGAACAAGCTCGCGAAGTTACAATAAAGCTTCACTCGCGTGCCGCTCGTTTTCTAAAGCTTCAACTATATTTCGCGGCAAGGTGGATCATGCTAAGCGAAGTAATCTTTGAATCAGGTAAGACAACATTTTTAATTGATTCGCGATATACACGTTAGAATTATTTTCAAATATCAAAAACAATCGCCAATTTATTCATTAACAATTATCAAGAAAATCTGTTAAACGAATAATTTATAAATCAGTTGACATTGTTAGAACAAGTCAACACTTCTATGAGATCATATAGCCCATTTTTTAAGGGGTATATGGGTGCCAGAAACTGTATCGATCAGAAATTTGTTTGAATTAGGATCGGGTTCTAAAAATTGGTTAATTGCATGAACATATTCGACATTAAAAGTTATTTTTAATCTATGACAAAAATACTAGGAGTAATATCTTTTGTATAATAAATTACTCCCCTATAGTTAAACTTGTTTACAATAATAATTCTTCTTTTTTTTTTTGATAAATAACCCCGTGTATATAATAATGATGTTAGAAAATATCTACTAGAAACATTTTATCGTTTGAACGAATAACATTAATTGTAATCTTGTTGATGTGTGCAGTTATCTCAGAATGGAACAACACTGACGACGAGGAAGCCAAGAACAAAAGTTCCATTGTACTGGCGACTGGCAGCCCCTATCAGAATAACGAGGGTCCGTTGCAAAGGGACGAAGTGAAGGCCACTTTTAATAAGGAGGAAAACAACGATAACGCCTGTGAGTTTTTTTCCCCCGGTATCAAGCATTGTTTCTCTGAATAAACTCTTATGCTTTTTCACGAACGTTTAACAAGCAAAATATTATACTAGCTTTTGCGTTATATGATAACGTATGCAATTAGATCAAAATAAGTAATATACAATTTAGAAAATGTCCACGGTGCCGATAATTATCAATAAAAAATATATTGAAATAATCTTTAAATTTATTAAAAAAAAAAAAAAATAAAACAAATGATAAATTTGTTGCTTGTAATTTCGTATCATCGTAAGTTAATTAATAAGAAAATACCGCATTACGAGTCTTATTCGATTCAAATAAATAAATATAAAAAAAAAAAACAAAGAAAAAGGAAAATCAATAGTTAAATTTACAAGGAAATCGTTTGGAAATGAAGGAAACACGCTAGGAGAATTACTCCCCGGTTGTGTTCCTCTTTATTATAAGGTCGACTGACGATGGAAACTATACAGCCAATTAGCACGATTAATTTCTTTCTCGACTTTCTTCCTTGACAGTCTCTTCAGCCGTTAGTATCGGTGTCCTTCGAACTTTTTTAAAAGGATACCTAGGGAAAGAGAAAAAGATCAAAGTTTTCCATTAATATCTTCCCATCGCGAGTTTTTCTTCTTGGATAAAAAAAAAAAAAAAAAAAAAAAAAAAACGGGAACAAAAAAAAAGACAAGATCTTTATCATTTTCCTATCCTTCTTTATCAATTTTCCATCCTTGGTATTCTCGTAATAGAACCGAAAAGAAAATAATAAAAAAACGAAATCTCTCTAAAGTGAATTTAATAAGTAGGAGAGTTTTCTTATTTAAAAATGAAAAGAAAATGTGGAAGACAAGAGAGAGAAAGAGAGCGAGAGAGAGAAAGAAAGAAATAATGAACGAAGAGAATGAAAAATCAAAGTGGACCTTTTTTTTCTATGTCTTCCTCTCTTTCTATTGTTTCATTTTAAGTATGACATGTCTAATGTTTCATTACACGTTGCTCCATATTTGCACCCGGGGTAAAAGTATTCATCCGTTCGTGTAATAATACGCGAGTAAAAAGCGGAAAAGTACGAGGAAAGGAAAGGAAAGGAAAGGAATGGAAAGGAATGGAAAGGAATGGAAAGGAATGGAAAGGAATGGAAAGGGGGTGGTATAAACGAGAGAAAGAAAATAGGAGAAAGAGGTAAAACTAGAAAAGGAGAAAAGTAACGACACGCTTTTCTCGGAACCGAGCCACGTTTCGCGCTAGTTGTAACGTTAACAAACGACGCACTGCAAAAGCTTCAAAAGAGGCTTCGTTTCACCTACCTCCGGAGTAGTAATAACTTAAAGGGAAATGAAGTTACCAATCGCGAAAGTTCTCCTTTCTCGAAAATGCGGGCTCATTTCATTTTTCCCCTCTCCACCAACCCACCCCCCTTGCTTTCTTTCTTTCTTTCTTTTCCTTTCTCTTTCTTTCTTTGTTTCCTTTTTTTTTCTTTTTATTTCGACACTTGGCAGCAAGGCAAAAAGGTACGAATTTAAAGTTAAATTTTACAATTCGTTTTAATCATTTCACCTATAATTCCCATTTCGTTTTATATTTCTTTTCTTTTCTTTTTTTTTTTCCAACGCTAATGTTAAATTGCAATAAATCATTATCCTATTAACGTATAAAGAAAATATCTCCGTTTACTAAAATCATTATTTATTGTATCTTTTTTATTTTTTATTATCCTTATTGTTTTGTATATCATCGGACATTAAGTATAGTATAATAAAATATTAAAATTATAGAAAATAAGAGAAAGATCAAAATATAATGCAACGTATTATTCATTTATCTATAAAACGGTGGTGTAACGTTTGTAAGAAAAATTCAAGTTAACTTGAGCCAAGTTTTTATGTGGGTGGTTAAACAATAACAACAACAAAAAATTCAATAAAGGTATGACATGAAATATGTTGAAATAGAGTACTTATTCGCGTTATACTTACATACATACATACATACATACATACATACATACATATATATCTATATAACTACATAGATAGATAGAACCGGGGATGAAATCAGTTGGATCGACAGTACATAGGATAGGCCGAACATTTTGTAATCAGATCGATCGATCGACAAGGTGCCGGTCAACCGGAGTATAGGTTGTGAGCTTCACGTCCAGCACAATCATCATTATCATCCTATCGTGCATTATGCGGGTCTGCTTGTAACGATGCTTCCCATCGTAATAGGACGCGTAGCCTTATGCGTTAGGTGACCACTTTGTGTGATGTGACGGCTTTATAAGTACGTATGTACCATACGTAGGTATTGAACATAAATTTATGTGCCTTAGCATAAACGAGCATCATCCTAGATATATCTATTCCCTATATATATATATATATATGTATATGTATAATACGTTTGAACTTTCCTATCCCATGGTGAATAGAGAAAATGACCAATATTATGTGTTTCTCTTCGACATTTTATTTGAAAATATTTGTATCATATTTTTTTTTCTTTTTTCTATTTCTATTTCTATATAATTTGTCTATGAATACATTCATCGACCAACTTGCGTGGTTTTATTTATAATTCGTCAATCACAATTATATTCATTCGATAGAAATAATAATAATAATTCGTTATTTTCGAGTAATCGAATATGACAATATGATAACGTCAAGTTTGTTAGACTATTATTTTATATTTGACGATTATATTTATTTTCTTGGATATTTTAAAATTCTAAAAAGAGATAATACCTGGTAGGTTGAAATTCTATTCTTAAATAAACACACGTAGGCGTAGGATGTCCCGTTATTGAGTATCGATGCATCTAGAAATATAACATACTTGTCCGTGTTTATTTACGTTTATTTGCGTAACCATAGCCTACGTTGTAGTACGTGTCTCATGTTTATGAACAGGAACGTTATCAAGAATTATTGAAGAACGTCAGACTAGAAAAGGAAATGTGTGTTTTCAACAGCCTTGATAACAACATCGCATAAACGAAACATCAAGTAACATTGTCGTATTATTTTATTCATTTTTTATTTTTATTCCCACAGTCGAGGTGGTATTCATTTATTATATAAAAAGATACAAATGTATTTTTAAATAATAGATTATTATTATTATTATTATTATTGTTATACGAATAAAATAATGGTAGGAAATGTTGAATTAATAATAATATACTTATTGCGTTATATATAAGAAAGATAAATCGTTAATGCAACAAGTATGACTAAATATCGATTCATACTACTTAAACTTACAATATACTTATTTCAGTTCCAGATAAAAAACATGAGCCCGAGACTAAACAATTCGTTGGATTGGTCATCGGAATCTTAACAACGGTGATCATAATGCTTTTGGCAGCTATCATGTTTATATTCTATCGAAACCGTAGACTCAAAGCTGCATTAGCACCTTCAACATTTTACGATCAACAGGCCGATCTAAAGGTAAACTAATTTTAACGAACAAACAATTTTCTAACTTAGATAATATGATTATTACTTGAAATGATCTCTTTATTAAAAAAAAAAAAAAAGCGATAAGGTATAAAGTAATACTTTTGAAATGATCTCTTTATTAAAAAAAAAAAAAAGCGATAAGGTATAAAGTAATACTTTTGCATTATTATTATTATTATTATTATTATTATTATCATCGTAATAATCATTATCATCTTGTTGCGAGATAAAGACAAAAGTGAATATCTACTTTGATAACTTTGTTAGAGTAAATGCGTTTGCTTGTGTCTTTGGGAATCGAGAATAGAGGAACCTTAGAAAGTTTGTTCAGGATGTGCACACAAATAGAGAATAGCGACTGGGAATATTACTCTCGAAATACTTTTCCTGAACGGCCGTTATCACGTTCCAATATCTTGCAATGAACAAACGGTAAACTAAAGTTCTATACTGAACCGATATCGTTTTGATCTGGTAAAGAGTAAATGAATGAATGAATGAAAACTATCTCAACTATCTATATTTTATCGATGAAACAAAGCTGCTAAAGAAATAAATTTTTTCTTACTTTTTGCAACAACAACGATTGAAAAAAAAAAATTAAAAAAATATAAAAAAGAAACAAATGAAATGGATATATATTTTACAATTTTATTATTAAGATAGTCTTATATATATATACTTAGTTAATTAAAATTAATTGATAACGAAGATGGATAAAAAGAAATATAAGAATCCTTTTTCTTACTTTCTTTCTTAATTTCTTTATCTTATTTTCTTTTATTTCTATTTCATCATCATTATTTTTCGTAGAAAGGTGAAAAACGTTAAATGCTCGAATTAAATCTTTAAACGCAAATATTTTGTATTTTCTTTTTATTTCTTCGAACCGTAAACTCAAACCAACACGCATATCCATATTGTAAATTCGCTTCAAACTTTAACCCTCTCAACGAGAGAGAATTATTAAAGACACGTCCATTTTCGTTTCAGTATACTTTAACGTCTAAATTCCGACACGTGTTGTGTATAAGGTTTTACGTACGTATGTACAGTCTGTATTAAAAGAAAAAATAAAATCATTTATAATAATTTTAAATTATAAGGAAAAAGTGTAGAAAGTTCTTCTAACATCAATAAAATAATTACGAACGAAATTACATATACGTGTTCGTATAATACATTGATTATTATATTATTTTATTGTGATCTTTATATAACAAAACACATATTAAAACTTGTATTATACAATTAACATATTTAAATTATATAATTCATATTTTACATATTACGAGAGAGTAGATATTAAAATACCAATGAATGTATAATCAAAAACGATATTTGAATATTATTAATAATTAATGCAATAATATATATATATATACATTTATTATATATTTCGTTAGAATTTGTTTCCTTTTTTTATGAACGATAAAGGGAAGAGTCCCCCATTCTTTCTCTGTTGAAAAAGTTTTCGATCGTTGTTGTTCGAGTTAACGCGTTGATCGAGCCATCAAGGACGAAATGATCGGCCATAAGAGGTCAGGAAGTCAGAACAGGACTTTAGATAGCTTTAACGGGAAAAGAGGAACGTGTAGATAAGTACATAAGGGACCAACCAACCAACCAGGAGTTGCTTCTATGCGAGTGTAAGCATACTGGTATACGAGTACAAAGAGGAAGAAGAAAAATCGACGTTGAGGTTGGGGTTGTAGGGTGGTGGAGGTGGGGGTGTGGGTGTGGGGAAAAGGGTGGTTGTAGAGATGTTCGAACGAAAACGAAGAGAAAGAGAGAGAGAGAGAGAAAAAAAAAGAAAATGAAAATGTACGAGCTAGGAGGAGAAACAGAAAAATAGGTAGTGAGAGAGAGAGAGAGAGAGAGAGAGAGAGAGAGAGAGAGAGAGAGATAGAAAGAGAGATATTATTTAATTATTTTGGTTGTTAAAACGAATAATCTATCTCTTATACTTATAAAAACATCATGTAAATCTATATTTAACCTAATTTATTTATTCATCAAGAAATATCGTATTATCAAAAAGAGAAAACATCACCGACTGATAATTATAAAAGGACACCGAACCCGTTGTCAAGGATCATTAAAGTATTGAAATATCTTTTGACACATCTCGTCGTCAATGGTAACTCGAGTGAAAAGAAAATATTAGATAAAAAAAAAAAAGGAAAAAGAGAGAGAAAAACAAAAAGAAGAGAATAAAAGCAAGCAAGTAAATAACGAGAACTCGAGATACGAGGAAACTAATTAGGCGTACATCCACCTCTCTCGTCATCCACCCCTTGGAGATCATTCGTTGTAATAAAACAGCTAATTTCCTGAATCCTCTTTTTCTTCTTCCTACTTGTTTTTTATTTCGTTGTTGTTGTTGTTGTTGTTGTTGTTGTTGTTGTTGTTGTTGCGTGGTCTCGTTTTCTTTTTCTTTTTTGTTTTGTCGAACTCGTACAATCGTTGAAAAAAATGACGCGAGATAAGGGAGGCTTTATGGTTGGATCGTTCGTTCATTCATTCATTCATTCATTCGACTTTTGTATTACTTTCGCGTTTAGAACAACAGGGACTTCTTCTGCATGCATCGACATGACGAATCTCACTAATGGAAAGAGAATTCTTTGTAGTATATAATATCTTCTTGATAACGCACTAGTTAAAGTGTCTTTGTATGGTAAAGTACTACCTAACTCGTCGAGAGGTTGAAGGATAAACGAAAACTCCAAAAGAAATAAAAAAAAAAAAAAAGAAAAAGAAACGCATAGAAAGAAGAAGAAGAAGGGCAATGAAAAGTTTTTCTAACGACTTCTTTCCTTTTCCTCTTTTTCT